AGAAAGAAAACAAGCAAAGCGAACCCGCGCTACGCCAACGCATAGACGCTGGCAAACAAGCTGCTGCATACAGCTAAAGCCTGCAGTGGATGCGAAGTAGGGAAACGAGCTCTATACACCGACGTTTTTTTCCGACCCTGCGCTGAAATTTGCACAACAATGCGGATCCTGGTGTATACGGGGTCATGGTGTATACATGTTTCGTTGTTTCCATTGGAAAACGGGGGAGAAGTACACACCACACCACCCCGACGTCGCCCCCGACCCTCAAAAAAATCTTGGGATTGAAAGACCGCCCGCCACTGGTAATGTATATGAATCCAGTTTTCGACGAAGTGCAGCCCCAGGTTCGGACGCGCACCCTGAATGCGATGCAGCAAGCCAAAAAAGAAACAGGCCGCGGCCATGCCAGCCAGCACCCTGTGCCAAAGCGCACGGAGCAAGGCGGTAATGCCACCGCCTGGCAAGCTGCCAGGCGGAAAAAGGCGCCAACCACGACTGGTGCCCGTGGAAATTGCCACGCGCACCCCAAGGGGCGCAAGAACGCCAGTGCCCCGGCAAGAACAAGAGGTGAAAGGCACCGCCCGGCCGAGCCCCTCAAGGAACCCATCAAAAGACAAGAAGCCAAGCAACCAAAAAATATCCCGCCTAAGGCGGTAAGGGGTTACGGGAAACTGGCCAACAGAGGCAAGAATGGCGCAGCAAAAGCTGAAGCGAGCTACCCCAGGAGGAAGCCTGGGGACCACGCCAAAAAGACGTGGGTCGCGGCCACGCCGGCCCACACCCCGTACTGGAGCGCAGGCAGCTCAGTTCGGCGGTAAGGCCGCGGCCAGATCCAATAGACCGACGGAAAAGGCGCGAGACGTGAGCAGCGCGCAAGAATTCAATAGATAGGAAAAAACATTGGTGGCGTAGGCAAGGCAAAACACGGCCGAGTGCCAGGAAGACAGCCCCTGGGCCCCTGGGCACAGGCCAGCCGGGCAACCAAAAGGTCCTCACCGCCTAAGGCGACGAAGGACAAATACGGTAAGTCCCGCCACCAGCTCCGTTGGACAAGCCACGAGGCCATGGGAGGCCGCGAAGAGAAGGCCCACAGCACCCGCGGTCACCGCGCGGAGTGGGGGCAGGTGCAGAGAGCGGCGAGCGGCAGTGTCGCAGCAGCGCAGCAAGGGCTCCAGCAAGGACGCGCAGTGGCGCGCAGAGAGCAAAGTGTGTAGAGTGGGAAGACAGCCGGGCGAAGCGAAACATCACCCCCCCGCCAGCAGCACCGCACCAGCTATGGGCACGGGTGGCCCTCAGATCACTTGCTTCGCAGAGCAGGGGTGGGGGCAAGGCGTCGCCTCGGTAGCTCACGCCCCCCGTTTGCAGCACGATGTCTCCCTCCCCTGGAAAGTGTGGCGCGGCCGAAATGTGGGGGGGGGACATGGGCGAAAGCGAAGTGGGCCACGGCAGAAGTGACGTTCGCCCACTTGCGTGTTGCAGATGACGCAGACGCACACCGCGTGCGCTGCCCAGGAACCCATGCTCCACCGGGCATTTTTCCGATGGCCTGGCAGCCTCTGCACCCTGCCGTCGCTGCCGGGCCACAGTCCACACAAGGCCTCCCCAAAGTCCTTCGAGCGGCTTCGTAGAGGAGCACACACACACATTGTCTGCGGAAGTTGGAGGGAAGGCGGGGGGGGCGTCACCCCCGCCGACAGCCCCACATCGACCCCCGTCGCGGGCAGCCACCGCGCGCCGAAGGCGCTCGACCCCCGTCGCGGCGCGACAACGAGGCGAGGTTGACCCACGTCGGGGGGGGACCTCCCCACGCTGATTAAGCAACCCAGAGTACCCAGACATCCGACGTCGTGAACCTTTCGCGGCGTGGACCACCAGAGGTCCGGACACCTCCTCCTCGGAGACTTTGGGCCTCTCTCCCGAGTCAGGGATCTTCTGACCCGGGTCAATCCAGACCCAGGTCAGTCAGGCCTTGCAGAATCCTGCAAGTTCCTGCAAGTTCCCACGCGAAGGACCCTGCAGGATCCTGCAGGATCCTGCACCCAAACCCGGGCCAATGCGACCCCAGCCCTGCAGGATCATGCAAGGTCGGGCCCTCTGGCCGACCCCCGTTTGCAACGACCTCCGTCTCAAGAGGAGGAGGAGGAGGAGGAGGAGGAGGAGCAGGAGGAGGAGCAGGAGGAGGAGGAGGAGGAGGAGGAGAAGGAGAGGAGGAGGGGGGTGGAGGGGGATGGCATCGCGACCGAGGCGTCACTTGAACAGTCCCAGGGGCCCAGGCGAGGAGGCCACACATGTACGGGCCGAAAGCGGCCCGACGTCCGCGCCGCGGTCTGCGAGGCCTGTCTGCGCTAGGAGGGAAGGCGGCGCTCGACACGCGAAGCGTGGGGCGAGGGGGCGGCCAGCGGGGTTTGAGGCGCAGGGGGAGCCAGAAGGGACGAAGGGGGGGGCAGTAGGGCTGCCTACGGAGAGGAGGAGGAGCATGAGAGGAGGAGAAACTGGAGAAGGCAGAAGTATAAAGAAGAAGAAGAAGAAGAAGAAGAAGAAGAAGGAGAAGGAGAAGGAGAAGGAGAAGCAGAAGAAGAAAAAAAATAAGAATATGAAGAAATAGAAGAAGAAGAAGAAGAGGAGGAGGAAGAGGAGGAGGAGGAGGAGGAGGCACCCTCGAGGGCCTCGGCCGCCATGGACAAAGCGACCCACAGCTCGCACCTCGGAGGAGGTAACCTCCCCTCCCCAGGACGTCTTCGGAGGCCCCCCGCGGGACGCCCTGGGGAGGGCCCCGCCTCGGGGGGGGGGGGGCCAGGGAGAGCCAGAAACGCCCAGACACCTTCTGCACTGTGCTGGAGGAAGAGGAAAGCAGAGGGGGAGGGAGGAGGAGGAGGAGGAAGAGAGGAGGAGGAGGAGGAGGAGGAGGAGGAGGAGGAGGAGGAGGAGGAGGAAGCGGGCGAGGGAGCACGAGTGCTGACGAGGGACGAGGGGGGAGGCGGAGGTGGGGGGGAGAAGCTCGGGGGGGAGCTGAGGCCCAAACCTCCGATGCCTCGGGTGCTTCCGCGCGCGCGCGCCGCCGTACTCCCGACCCCGCCCCCTCCCGAAAGGCCGGCCTTTCTCGTCCTGGGCCGCGGGGCCCACGGCCGCAGCAGGCGCCCTGAACAGCTTGAGGGCTCGCTCCGAAATCTTGCGCTCGAGGCCGTCCGCAGGCGTGCGCCGCCGTCCGCACGGGGCGGCGACTCTCCGCCGTTCGGCGCTTCCTTTGCGCGGCGCCAGCGTTGAACGCGCAGTTATTGCGGCGCCGACCGTGTGGGCAGGGTGTCCCGCTGCAGGGGTCGTCCGGCCGTCCGCGCCAGGGCGCCCAACTCCGCAAAAGAAAATGCGCTGGCACGCAAACACCTCCAATTTTTGGTCCTGCAGCAGGGTGCAAGACTAGAGGAATCTTGTTGTTGGCCTGGCATCTTTGGGCGATCATTGTTGTGGGAGGGGGCCCGCCGCGGGCGGGAACCGCATCCGCCCCGACGGCGGCGTGCCCTGACCTCCTCGGCCGCGACCCTGTGGTGGACAACCAGGCTGCCCTGTGCGGAAGTACCCGCGGAATCGGACGCCTCCCTGGGACTGCGACACGGCATCCTGACCTGGAGGCCTCCCGGGTGGGGCCCGGGCAGATGAGGTCGGAGGGTCGCGCCGCATTGCCGACGTCGGCATGGAGTCGGGCCCGCATCGAGCCGCATCGGCGATGAATCGGCGATGGGGCGCAATCCTCCAACCCCCTCTACTCTGACCCCATCTGGGAGGCCAGGGGGCCACCTAGCTCAGGGGAAGCTGGTCCTGGGTTCTGGTGTTGGCGGGAATCCTGCGGCCACCTAGGAAGACCGAATGCTACCACCAGCACCGAGATCGGGATCACCTTCCTCGGTGGAGGTGTACCGCCGATGTTTGTGTTGGTGCTGAAATCTAGGCCGTCGGCGGCGAGCCCCGGGGGGGGGAAGTGAGCAGGCGCGGGCCTTCGCGAAAGGCTCGGAAGTCCCCCGGCCTGCGGAGCAGCTTTCCGAACCTTCCCCGGAGACACACAAGGGCTTCTGAGAAGCCACGGGGCTTCTGAGAAGCCCCGCCGCCGTGCTATCACACTCCAGCGGCCCTGGCCGCCTGCCGAAGATCTCGCGGGCAGGGCTCTCCCGAAGTCGTGCAGCACATTCTGCGCAGGCTCGCGCTGCCTCTGCTGTGACCCTGCGTCCAGGAGCGCAAGCTCCGAGAACACACAGCACTTCGGGGGGGTGGCATGCTCCGCCCCTCCTCCCACCTCCCTCCTCCCTCTCCTCCTCCTCCTCCTCCTCCTACTCCTCCTCCTCCTCCTCCTCCTCCTTCTCCTCCTTCTCCTCCTCCTCTTCCTCCTTCCTCCTTCTCCTCCTCCTCCTCCTCCTCCTCCTCCTCCTCCTCCTCCTCCCCCTCCACCATCTTCCACCTCCTCCTCCTCATGTTTTCCTCCTCCTCCTCCCCTCCCTCCTCCTCTTCCTCCTCATCCTCCTTCTCCCTCCTCCTCCTCCTCAACAACAACAAGAACAACAAGAACAACAACCACGACAACAACAACCACAACAACCAAAACCACAACAGCAACAACAGCAACAACAACAACAACAACAACAACAACAACAACAACAACAACAACAACAACCACCACCACACCAATAAAACACAACAACCACAACAACAAGAACAACAACAACAATAACAACAACAACAACAACAACAACAGCAACAACAACAGCAGCAACAACAACAGCAGCAACAACAATAGCAACAAAAATATAGTCCCACATATCTGTCTAGAACTAATAATAGTAATAATATATACATAAAAAATAATGGCAATAATAATAATAAATAAATAAATAAATGAATAAATAATATATATATATATATATAAACAACTGACTATGTTTGACTATGTTTGAATCTTCCTCCTATAGAGGGACAGGCCCGACTTGACCCTCGCCCCGCCGCGCGCGCACCTGGCGGCGCGCGCTCCGCGCCAACGGCGGCGCGCGCCGCCCCGGGGGCACCCGCCCCCCGCCCGCGCGCGCGCGCATGCCGACGGCAAGCGCCGCCGGTACGGCTGCGGGGGTGGACACGGGCGGCGCCCGCCAGGCCTCATCCCACGCCGCCCCTCCCGTCTCGCCGGCCGGCTCTCCAGTTCCCCCCCCGCGCCGCCCCCCCCCCCCCCCCCCCCGCCGCCTCCACTCTCCCCCCCACGCCCGCGCGCCCACCCGCTGCCCCCTCCCAACTCTCGCCCGCGCCCGCCTCCCACGCAGCACCGTCTGCCACCCAGCCTCAGACAAACCCCTCGCCGGCCCCTCCAACTCTCGAGCCCCCTAGTCTCTCCCGCCCCCAGGCCCCCAACCCGCTGCCCTCCCACTCTCGCCCCCCCCCCACCGCCGCCCCCCCCCCCCCCCCCCTCTCCCCCGCTGCCACCCAGTCGCGCCCCCGGCCGCACTCCTCCCCTGCTGGTATGTATGCCCTCCAGCTTGCCCCATCGTTAGGGACGCAGAAAGTGGCATAAACAGAACAAACACGGAGTCCGCGCGGATTTCTCGATCGGCGCTGGGGACCTCCCGGCGGCGGAAAACATCCCGAAGCGCGAGAACCTCCAAGAGATTTTATGTTGATGTCACTATTTGGCCCACCTAACTACTTGCCTCCCGACCGTCCTGCCCGCCCCAGCCCCTCTTCCACCCCCTCCTTGGCACAAGAGGGCCCCAACAAGACCCAACGCGGGCCCCAAGAGACACAAAACATTGATTTTGCATCGGCTTCTGTACACTGTGAAAGATTTGACCGCCTTCGCGGATTTCCGACCGCCCAGGACAGGCCAAGAAGCCGCCAAGACCGCCACAAGCAAATCCAAAATGCTCCCAGGACGGCACCCAGATTGCCTCAGAGGACCGCAAGACAACCCAAGAAGCCTCCAAGGAGAGCTGCAGAAGCCCCACGAAAGCCCCAACAGGGGGAATCCAAACTCACATTTCGAGCCTGCCCCGAACGATGGCGCCCGAGCTCGCCAGCAGGCCCTGAAGGAGTCCTCAAGAGGCGCCCGGAGCCCCCAAAGCTGCGACAAGATGCGCCCTAGAGACCCTGGGAGGTTCTAAAAATGCCGCCAAAAAGCCCCGCGAGAGGCCTGCGAAGAGCCCCCCGAAGGCCTCCCAAAGAGGCATCTGGTCCACTGCCTCCAGAAAGCCTCCAAAAAGGCCTCCGAAGCGAACCCGAGAGGCCTCCCAGGGAGGCACCTGGTCCACGACCCAGGGTGCCCCAAAAAGATCCTCAAAGCCATGGAGCTCCTCCCAGACACCTCACCTTGTCCACGAGTGCACGCACAAGTTCCTAGTCGCTACCACGCGGCAGCGATGACACTGCACGGGCCCGCGGAGTGTGCGAAGCGACTGAGTTCGGCGGGCCCCCCGCGGGCCGACGCCGTGCCGTGGGCCTCGAGGGTGGATGACATGGAGGATCATGGAAGAAGAGTGAGATGCACGCACAGATGCATGCTAACAGCGGCTTCGCGCATTCCGCCGGCCTCACTATGGCGCGTCCCCCTACAAGGGGATTGTCGACGAAAAATAAAAAATGCTCACAAAAATTACCCTGGCGACGTACCCAACCCCTGCGCAATGCGGCGCATTAGTAGCTCGGGAGACGTTATACGGAGGTGATGACGTGACATGGGCGCATATACTTCTGCGAGCGGCATTCGTGAGGCTCGCAGCCCCCCAAGGATTGCGATGTCTAGCTGAGATCTGCCTGGTGCCTCGCTCCGCTGAACCCGCCACCAGCCTTCGAAAGTTGCGACGGTCTCGCAGATCGCAGCCCCCCAAGGACGGCGAGGCCCCGCTCAGATCTGCGCGATGCCTCACCCCGCTGGACCCACCAGCAGCCCTCGAAAGTGGAGACAAGTTCGCAGATCGCAGCCCCCCAGGCACGGCGAGGTCCCGCTCAGATCTGCGCGGTGCCTCACTCCGCAGGACCCACTGGCAGCCCTCGAAAGTGGCGACAGTTTCACAGATCGCAGCCCCCCAGGGATGGCGAGGTCTAATTTGGGTCCGCGCGTGGCGTACACGTGAGAGCTACTGTGTGCTCGGCCGGCGCCCCAGAAAGCCTCGAAAGTGGCGACAGTTTCACAGATCGCAGCCCCCCCAGGGATGGCGAGGTCTAATTTGAATCCGCCCCTGGCGTCACTGTGCTGGGCCCCCCAGCCGGCCTCGAAAGTGGCGACAGTTTCACAGATCGCAGCCCCCCAGGGATGGCGAGGTCTAATTTGAATCCGCCCGTGGCGTCACTGTGCTGGGCCCCCCAGCAGGCCTCGAAAGTGGCGACAGTTTCACAGATCGCAGCCCCCCGCAGGCAAGACAGGAGGAGGCAGGCAGGAGGCAGGAGGGAGGCGGGAGGAGACGCGCGAGCAGTGCTCTATTCAAAACGAATACCCAACCAAGGAGGGTTGGGAATAAAGCAGGAAGCAGGACGCAGAAGGAGGGAGTGAGGCGGGAGGAAGGAAGGTGGAGACCACAGTCCCTCATTCAAAACGAATATCCAACCAAGGAGGGTTGGGAAAAAATGACAAATACACACACACACACACACACAAATACTCCCCTGACTATGTTCTAAGTAGTTGTGCATATTCCCCCTGTAGAGGGACAGGCCCGACTTAAACATATATGCATGCTAAGAGCGGCTTCGCGCATGCCGCCGGCCTCACTACGGCCGACTCGATCCTCCCAAGGGCGCGCAAAAGTACAGGTGAAACGTGCTCCCAGCGCGAGGCCCACGCACGTGACAGATCCTGGGACACATAGAGACACGAATGCGATGAGCACGCTGGGCTGTCACAGCTTCGGGTGGGCGCTCCCCTTGCGTATTTCCCAGCTCCACACTTGTCTGGAGCACGCGGAAATACAAATCAGCTGCGCCTCGAGGGCCACGAATAGCTCAGTTCTAAAAAAGCCGAATCCATTTCCTGCGCCACTCTACTACTGGGACACGTGAAAATATGAATAGTCTGCGCTCCAAGGCCCACGAAGGGCTGAAGTCTAGACACCCCTCATGCATATCCTGCCCCACACTCTACAGGGAGAGGTGAAAATACGAATGAGCTGCGCCGGGGACCCGTACAACAAACTAATATGTTGGGCCTCGCGGCTTCCAGAAAATGTTGCAATGCGAATGGATTGCGTTTCCGTGTTAATGGGAACCTCAATGTGGCACACACATCAAGCAAGCACTTCGTGAATATCGGGCGCCCAGCTGGCCCCCAAGGCGGCTCCTTTTTTCTGTTTCTTACAATGCCAAGACGAACTCCTCTGAGAGATGATACCGGTGGACACCACGCCCACACAGGCTCACTGCAGGAATGCACCCGATGGACACCACGCCCACACAAGCGGTCACCTGCGAGAGATGAGATAAAGCAGCAGAAGTAGCTTCATCTAAGAGCGGCGGTGGACATCGCGCCCACGCAGACCGCTTGGCAGAGGTCATCCATGCGCAAACTGGTGCACTTGGTCTGGCAGAATGCGCCCTCCGCCCAACCTTGGCAAGAACTTTGGCAACCCGAGGTGTTAAAATAATCGCCAGAGCGCGTGCGCGACAATCGCCGCACATCCCCTCTTCCCAGCTCCTCTCGCTCCTCGTCCTGCGTGATCCTCCTCCTCCTCCTCCACAATTACTCAATATGAATACTAATCTCCCTCTTCCCCTGATGGCGTCCTGGGAGTAGTAGGCCCCCCCCCGCGTACTGTTTTTTTACACACAGGATTACCGGGAGTTGGGTTTTCGCCTGCGTTTCTTTCAAAATGCTGCTCTCGCTGAGGCGCCGGCCTCATTTCTGCTCCCGAACCGTTCCGAATCGTGCTCCCGCTGCAGCGTGGGCCTCATTTTCGAATCGGTGTTTGGCCTCCGTCGTTCAGGATGGCGTTCTCGCCCCAGCGCGGGCCTCTTTCTCGCGCGCCCATCCGCCCGCCACCACCGCGCCGCACCACCACCACCACCACCACCACCACCACCACAACCACCACCACCACAACCACGCACACAACGCACCACGCACGCACGCACGCAGCACCACCACCCACTACGCACGCGCGCGCGGAGCCACAGGTCCGCTACGACACGCGTCCGCGGATAGAGAGTATCAGCGCCATGGTAAGGGATGGGAGGGAGGGGTAGGACGTCAGATATGACGCGAGCGCACCTAGCGGGTCCTCCTCCCCCTCCTCCTCCTCCTCCTCCTCCTCCTCCTCCTCCTGCTCCTCCTCCTCCTCCACTTCCTCCTGAACTGCCAGGAGGGGCTCCTCTGCGAGCGCTGGTGGACACCACGTTCACACAGGCGCACCGCAGGAATGGGCTGGTCACATGCTGAAGAACGCATGCGGCAGCTATCCTAAAATCAAGGTCCTCCTCCACCCCCGCCGCTGGGTTTGATCTGGTCCTCTCGCCCTCATCAACCCCATACACTCACGCGGCGCCTCAGAGACAGAAGCTACACGGGAGACATCGCTCACCATGCAGCTTCCTTCGAGCCAAAAATTGTGGCAATATGTTTTCACTGCCTCAGTTCAACATAGAGGATCGGATGTCTAAGTGCATCACTCAAGAACCCAATTTGCATGCATATACGATCATATCAATATTTAAGCTAGCTGTATAAGCTCCAGAACACCGAATTACCTTGTTTTCTTGCGCGCATGTGTGTCAGAACCCCATCTGCAGGCGAATTGCGTTCAATGTGCTTGGAGCTCCACTCACAGAGATCATCGAAAGAGACATAGCCTGCAACGCTCAGGTCGGCACTGCTCTTCCGAACAGTTGATCCACAGACAAGGACCGAGAAGTGCAAGCATCGTCGGGCCATAGTTTCGAGGAGAGTGAAAAGTAAAGTTTTCCCCCGGTCCCTCCTTCAAGGGGGCGTTCGACTCTACTACATGTATGAGCTGCGTCACGAATGTCTCTTGAAACGTGTCCTCTTCCAACGGGAATCTGAACTTCGCTCCTTCCCACGTGACGAAGCGTCATGGATACGAAGC